TGTCTCCCTCTCTCTCTGCCCCTCCCCCGTTCATGCTCTGTCTCTCTCTGTCCCAAAAATAAATAAACGTTGAAAAAAATAAAATAAAATAAAACATAAAACATTTGCTCATGGGGAAAACATAATAGATTAGAGTTCCTATTACATATTACTGCTTAGCGCTAATCAGACATTTGTTTCCCGTGACCATTGATTTCTGTGGCTATTTTTAACCAACGTAAGTATGAAAGATTGAGAAAAGTTTAGAAATTTACCGACAGAAATTAATCCTTACATAGTACTTGTACATGTTGATTGTGTAGTCATGTAACATGGATATATAGGTCAAATAAAATGTGAACAGAATGACAGGAAGTAGGGGAAAATAACTGATTTCTGGCTTTGTTCTCTGTGTCTTCAGGGTCCTATCCTCCCCCCAGCTGTTATTTTCTTCCAGGCACTCCCACCTACATCAAAAACAAAAGCCAGAATTTAAGAGCTGGAAGGTGGTGCTAAAAGAGAGGAGCTCCCCTACGTGGGCTCACTGTGGCCACTTGTTAGGCCTGACTAGGGTCAACATTAAGTAATAATTTGAGGCTTATTTTTCTCTTTATTTTCTTTTTAGAAATTTGATGCTGATCCAGTTGAATTATTTGAAATTCCAGTAAAGGAATTAACATTTGACCAACTCCAGTTGTTAAAGGTAGTCACAATAGCATACAGTGTAAATGATCTTTCAGTTTTAGAATGATTTATACTTATTTGTTTATGGTAGTGTTCTATTTGTGCATGGAGATGACTGTATATTCAGCATGTATAGAGCGTATGCTTTGATTTTCTGTTCTGTTAGGAAAAATGGGTTTGTGCTAATCCATTTGTCTTCTCTAACAGTTTCCATGGACCCCACTGTTTCTGCATATGTGAAGGGGCTTGGCTCTAATCCTTTGTAGGTAGACCATAAGGGCTAGCCCTTCTTTCTCATTCGTAGTCTCAGGTCGCCTCTGGTCGGCATTAGCCCTTCTTTATCTAACTGTCTTTATTTTACAGTTGGCCTTTTATGCTGTCCTTGGTTTTTATATTTCTGTTACTATCTAAGCTTTGTGTATCTTTTATACCATGTAATTTTATATGGTGACTCTTCCTGTTCTCGTTAGATACCTAAATAAATGGTTGATTGAATATAAACACTTTCTTAAGAATTTTTATTTATATTCTTCTCCCCTACTTGGGTATTTGATCATGATCTTATGTGTATGTATGCACATATGAAATATATACAGTTGTTAGTGATTATTCTTACTAATAATTCTACATTTTACAGTTTTCTTTAACTTGCTAGCTTTTCAAGTTACAGTTCTGTTAACCATACACCTTCATAAACTAAGACTTTTTTCCAATTGCATTTTGTGTGTGTGTGTGTGTGTGTTTTCTAGCTCGCTCATGTGACTGCACTGAAATCTAAAGATCTGAAAGGTATGTACCGATATGGAAGCACTGTTTTCATTTCATAGTTAACATATATATGGTATTTCCTTATTCTTTTTAACTACTGTTGGTCATTTTAATGTGTATAATACTGGGCTATCTAAATAATTTTATAGATATGAGGTCTTTACGTATATTTTCAAATGCATTTATGTCGTGTGTATAGTAATTACATGTTTTTACTGTTACGAGTTTTCTTAGCTTGATCATCAAAGTTCTTTATGATTTTGTACCTTATCATTCTTTCTAAACATTCTTTTTCTTTTCTCTTTCCAAACATTTGTAACCATGACAAAATAGAGGAAAAATCAAGTATAGAAGCTGGCTCCAGAACCAGGAGTCTGAATCCAGTTCTAATATTTACCTACTGTAACCTTGGGCAGGTTACTTTAACCACTCTGTGCCTCAGTTTCCCCAAAGCTTGTCCTGCCTGTGGAATCCCTTTGTAACTCCACTTTGTACTCTCATAGAACTTTATAGTTTGTGTCATTCATTTGAGATTTAGTGGATCCTTTTTTTAACCCTTTATTCTGTACATGTCCTGTCTCTTCAACTAGAATGTAAACCTCTCTAGGGTGGGAAAAATGTTTTTGTATTCCCTGAGACACTTACAGTGCTCTGTATATAGTAGGTGCTCGTTAGATGTTTACTTGCAGTGGTGATAACAGGATAGTTGGAATGCCTTTATGAAGAAATTGTGAAGTGCTAAAGACCAAAGTGTATCCCTAGAGCATAGATAGGACTTTCTAAGCTTTGTAGCTATTTCATGACTGTTAAAAATAAAATATATTTTATTCATTTAATTTATTAGTATTACTTAATATTTACGTGGAAAATATTATATGACTTTAGTCTTTGTAATACACTTTTTTTTAAGAAAGGAAAAGTTGAAAAGTTTGATATTAAATTTTTTTGCCCTCTTGGAAAAAAATTCTTACATGTTTTGAGATAAAATTTGAATTAAATGGTAGTGGTAACAAAAGCACAATGGTAGCTTTAGATTCTCTTAATTTCTAGCTTCTAAACTGATTTTGATATTTCAAATAAAAGCCTTAGCAAGAGGACCCTGCTCTTTAATTCCATTGAGAAATAACTAATCACTGCTGGTGACTACTTTGTAAAAGTAGTAAGAAATAATCACTGTTGGACTCTCAAACTTGGTGTTTCTATGAAATGTTGCAAACTAGTCTTCATAAAGGATGCTTATTTCAAAATGGAGGTTTTATAAACATAATAAATATACGAGCTTTCAAAAAATACTGCATAAAAAGGGTCTCCTAATTACCTCTACATCTCTTTCTTTGTCCTAAGAGTTTAGGAAAAGATCTTAGTGATAAAATGGTATTTTATCTACTGAGTTTTTATAATTTAAAATTTCAGAATCTGTGGTTGAGGAAGAAAATTCTTTTTCTGAAAATCAGCCATTTCCTTCTCTTAAGATGGTAAGTTTCTTAGGAAAACTAGCACAAGACTTACTTCATTCATTCTGTTATAACTTGAATAATTTATTTTGGCACTAACAAGGCTGTGTCAAGGACAACATTTATAAAAACTTGTTATTGATTCTTTTTAGAGAAGATACATTTTTGGTTTGTGTACCTATCCTACTTTTCTTTCTTTTTTTTTTTTTAAGAATAATTCACCTGCTCAAATGAATAAAAATGCTCACCTCAATGGGTTAATTTGGTAAGAATAGGAAATTCACACATTTCTGTATATAAACAAGAAATAGAAGGCACAGAAAAAAGGGGTGAGAGGGACATGTGATGGTGGGAGAGGTATTTTTACAATGTTTAAAACTGTTCCTGGGGCATCTGGCTGGCTCACTTTGGAGGAGCCTGCAGTTCTTGGGGTCGTGAGTTCTAGCTCCACGTTGGGTGTAGAGATTATTTAAATAAATAAAAAACTTGAAAAAACACCAAACTGTTCCTTAGCGTTTGGAGAGAAATGAGATTGTCCAACCAAAGAAAATGAGTACCCTGGTTACATAAAATGAGACACAAATTTCGAGAACTCCCCTGAAAAAACATAACAAATACTAGCATGAGGATTTAAAAACTAGACACAATTCATACAGGAATCCCTTTAATATTAGCAGGCAAGCCTATATGGATGCCAGGCACTCCTTGGTCATGCTGGATCTGCTTTTTTTCCCACTGGCTCCATTTCCTAACTTCTGCTTTTCTCCATTGTCTTTTTCTGGTGATGTCAGGTACAGTAGATATATCTTAGGCAACAGTATATCATTTCAGTTTATCATGATTATTCACCCTACAGAGGAAGCTACCAGAGAACTCCTAAAGTGGACATTGTTGTAGTGTGTTTAAAACCTGATTGGAGTAATTTTTCAGTTATTTATGAAGCCCAGTTAAGTTACATCATTTCTTCTAGTTCAGAATTCTGAAATCATTTGGTTCTGAGAAATCACATGATTCCTAGACTTGTGATTAAATACAATTATTAAAAAAATTGGGGCGCCTGGGTGGCGCAGTCGGTTAAGCGTCCGACTTCAGCCAGGTCACGATCTCGCGGTCCGTGAGTTCGAGCCCCGCGTCAGGCTCTGGGCGGATGGCTCGGAGCCTGGAGCCTGTTTCCGATTCTGTGTCTCCCTCTCTCTCTGCCCCTCCCCCGTTCATGCTCTGTCTCTCTCTGTCCCAAAAATAAATAAAAAACGTTGAAAAAAAAATTTAAAAAAAAAAAAATTGTGTATTAACAGTTTAACATTTATTTAACCAGATAAATTAAACACACATTTATTCACTCTGTCACCATCGCTGTAATTTAATCACAGATGTTTTAAAACCAAAAAAGGCTAATGAATACAATCCTAATTTAAAGGAGAAACTTGATGTTTAGGAGTCTTAACACGAATATACAGTATTTTCCTTATTTTTCTAATTTTGTATTAGCTCGGTAACAATGTGATAGGTACATTAAATAAAATAAGGCTAAAGATACCAGAGAAGAAGGTCAAACAGCCACACATGAAATTGTTTACAAACTGTTTAAGGTACTTGTCATGCAGCTGGTTAGGGCAGACCCAAGATCCCTGATGGCGAAAGGACTTTAGGTTAAGGATGTGTCTTTTGTAGTGGTAGTGTATCTTTCCTCCCAGATCTTGCCATAGACCACTGCTTTTGCTGCTTAATCTCTTGTTTAATTTAATCACCAACCATGTTGTAATTCGGGGTATGGGAAAAGATAGTGGTTTATGCTGAAGGCACAAAACATTTTATCCTTACTTAGTGATATGTTTTACTATCGGTTGCTTTTTTGTAGTAATTCTGTTTTCCTTTTTTTTCTTCTCTTATTCTACCATTCATCTCACCAAAAACAAAACAAAATTCACCTCCAACAAACAAAACTCTAGGTTTTAGAGTCTTTGCCAGAAGATGTAGGGTTTAACATAGAAATAAAATGGATCTGCCAACAAAGGGTAAGTAATCCTTGACGTAACACATTCTTCTTCCTCTTTCTCCCCATTTCTTCAAATGCATTTGTTCCTCTCTCCTTGTTTTAGTGGAAAAGTAAGACTGAAATCTTACTCTGGCTTCTTTCAGCAAGCACAGTGCTTGTTGGACCTTTTTAATAAAAGCATACTTTATCCTTATATGTGAGTACTTGAAAGGAGTGATGAATGTATTGTAGTATAAATTTCAGTTTAAACATGTCTCATGTGGATATTAATATGGTGGTTTCTGGACATACTTATAAAATGAACAGTGGAAACTAAGAACTTTATGTAACTGATGAGTTTTTGTTTTCTTATCCTCCATTTAAACATATATTTTCAGTAATTTCCTAAGCAGTTTTCTGTTAAGTGGCAATAGTAGCTAGTAATAGTTAATCAAGAAAAGAAATTTTCTGCAGGTGTGTTTTAGATCAGTCACAGATTTAGACTTTTTGCTGTTGCTCCACAGTTATATATTGAAAAGCTGCTATGGGTGAGCATTTTGTTGGTGCTGGGTTCAAGTACTGAGCAAAACAGAATAAAACTTGCCTTCTTGGAATAGTGTAGTTGAGGAAAATAATTCACTATTGAATATATCAGATGGAGATGTGTGTAAATGGTTAGGATGTATGGTAAGAGGGTTGTTGGGGTGGGGAGGGCACTGAAAGCGGTTAATTCAGGTATGATTGGGCAATCAGAGCAATATCCTAGAATTTGTTTTGATCAGAATAATCTACAACTGCCCTCAAATCATGCCTTCTAAGTAGCTGTTTATGATAAGCTGGTCCTGGTTAACATAGTGATTTTTCTTAAGTGATTTTTAGTTTTCTGAGCTCTTAGGGTTATTTTATTTTATTATCATTTTTTTTTTCAATATATGAAATTTATTGTCAAATTGGTTTCCATACAACACCCAGTGCTCATCCCAAAAGGTGCCCTCCTCAATACCCATCACCCATCTTAGGATTATTTTAATGACTAATAGATAAAATGCCTAATATTTGAATATCAACAGGACTCTTGGTATCTTAGCTATATTTAGAGACTATTTTTATTACGTGTTGAGGGTACTTGATATGCCTTAGAGCCAAAGAATGAGATTTTTAACTAGTAATTCATAATTACCTGGACTTTTTGTAATGAGTTAGCAAGTGAAGTAGAGTCCTTTTGTCTTACAGTTCATGAAGATTATATAAAAATATTTTAAAGTTAGTAAGGTGCAGATTTCCAGAGTTCTGGTTTTTATTCTGTTAAACTTATTAAAGCAAAAGTTTATTGATGATATAATCACTTTGCATATAAGTGTCTCTACCTGAAATATGACAGCTGCACCATCACTAAGCAGCTGTGTGGTCTTGGGCAAATCACTCAATCTTTTCAAGCCTTAGCTTTCCCCATGTAAAATAAGAGTTGGCTTAGATGTTCCCAAGATTTTTTTTTTTTTTTTTTTTTTTTTTTTTTTTTTTTTTTGGCACTGTGATCCTAGGATATTTAATGGCCTTTGTTTTTCTGTTTATTTTTTCCATATAGGATGGAATGTGGGATGGTAACTTATCAACGTATTTTGACATGAATCTGTTTTTGGACATAATTTTAAAAACTGTCTTAGAAAATTCTGGGAAGAGGAGAATAGTGTTTTCTTCATTCGATGCAGATATTTGCACTATGTGAGTAATATTAAATTGTTTTCACCTAGACTCTTAAACCGTAGCTGGGATTTAGGGACAGAGGTTGTGATTGGAGGTGGGGAAGTTGCCCAGACTTCACCCTTGACTTGTCCTCCCAGTTAGGTTCTATATATTCTCACACCTCTAAAGAACTACCCTCTACTCCAGCAAACCTCACACCCACAGGGTCCTAGTACCTCACACTCTGTGTTCATTTTATAGGCAGGTAACATCCTCCTTACCAAATATAAACCCTCGAGGGCTTTCTTGTTGGCCATTTCTGAAAATATTTTAGCTTTTTTATAGAATAATTAAAAAGTTTTCTTTTATTGATTGAAAGATGCAATACATGTTAATGGTGATTATAGCTCAGTCATGGGATTATGCTCTTTTGGTGGGGGGGCAGGGGCGGTTTCTTTATATAGTCACAGTTTCCTAAAATTCTAAAATGATATATAAGAATTATCTCCCTGATGAAAAGTATTTTCTTATTGTCTTCTTTAGGGTTCGGCAAAAGCAGAACAAATACCCCATATTATTTTTGACTCAAGGAAAATCAGATATTTACCCTGAACTCATGGACCTCAGATCTAGGACAACCCCCATTGCAATGAGCTTTGCACAGTTTGAAAACCTACTGGTAAGTTACATTTGAATTTTTTAGATTTTAATTTTTTAAGAAATGTCTTAGAGCAGTAGTGAATAAGTTTTTGTGTTATTTTACACATCTGATTGGTTAGTTTTGACCCATGTTTAGCAAGCTGATAGCTCTACTTAAAAATGAGGATATTAGATCTCAAAATAAAAAGCAGTTAAATGAACATTAAAGTATTTTCTTCCAGGCCTAGGTTAAGTAAGTTCTTGTAGTTTAGTTTTCTGAGTGGATTTTATGAATCATCTAAAATGGCTAGACTGTAGACTTCTTTGATAAATAAATTGTAATTGTAAGAAAAAGTCCTAACAGTTTTTTCCCTGTGCATTCTACTTTGGAGAACACTGATGTAGAATACGACCAATTAGTATTTGCAGTTAGTAAGTTACTTTCTCATGAGTAAATTATTTTTCTTCTTTTAGGGAATAAATGCACATACTGAAGACCTGCTCAGAAACCCATCCTATATTCAAGAGGCAAAAGCTAAGGGACTAGTCATATTCTGCTGGGGTGATGATACCAATGATCCCGAAAACAGAAAGAAATTGAAGGAGTTTGGAGTTAATGGTCTAATTTATGATAGGTATTTGTCTTTCATGAAAAGTTTTCATGTATTGTTAGGAAAAAAATAGTTATAAAATTAAAAGTAATATTAAACTTAGTTAAAATTCTGTAGTTCAGCCTGAGGTTTAACATTTATTTGTAGAGTTTTTCAAACTTTGGAGTATAGCACAACCACTTGGGAAGCTTGTTAAACATTCAGATCACTGGGCTCCATACCAGATGTACTCTTGTCTTGGTTGGGGGGCTCTCTCCCCCAGATGCTTCTCTCTCTCCACCAACTTTCTTGGGGGTCTCATCCAGTTCTGTGGCTTTTCATACCTTTATTCTTAAGTTTTATGTCTCCAACCTTTACATCTCAGACGTTTCCCCTAACTGCTTAAACTTTTGTATCCAGCTAGCAACATCTGTTCTTTCTGTAGACTTCCTGATTTCAGTATGACAACTCTGTCTTTCCAGTTTCTCAGGCCAAATCGTTGGAGTCTTTCGTGACTGTACTTAAACTCATACCCCAAAACCAGTCAGCAGAATCTTGTTGATTCTGTCTTCAAAATCTACCCTGAATGTATCCACTCGCCACACTTGCTATATAGTCAGTCTCCACTGAGAAGGACACCTCATTTCTCACGTGGATTATTGAAGTTGTCTGCTCACTGGCCACTGCCTTTATTCATGCCTCCCTGCTATCTGTTCTTAGCACAGCAGCCAGAGGGAGCCTGTTCTAATTAAAGTCAGCTCCTATCACTGCTTATAACTTGCAGTTTTCTGTGTCACCTAGAGTAAAATCACAGGCCCTTCCAAGGCCCCGTGTGAGCAGATTCCATCTCTTTTCCCCCCTCCCCCACCCCAACACGCCCACACAAACAAGCTCCGTGAGGACAGGCTCTTTGCCTGTTTTGTTCACTATTCTATCTCTAAAAATTAGAATAATGTGTGATACACAGTAGGGGTTCAAGTATTTGTTGAACTTTTTTTTTCTTTTTTTTTTTAAGCTCCCTAGGTGTTTCTGATGTAAGTTTGAGAGCCGCCAATCTGATAGATGAAAAGATTGCTTAATATAAAGAAATTTTGGGTTAGAAGGGATGTCATTTAGTCCACTGAGGGGTGGGCAATCTTACTAATACTTGAGCAACATCGTACAAAGAGTAAGTGATGAAATTCTTACCAGGCTTGTTTTAAAAAATACTTTCCTTGGGGCGCCTGGATGGCTCGGTCGATTAAGTGTCTGACTTCAGCTCAGGTCATGATCACCAGCCCCACGTTGGGCTCTGTGCTGACAGCTCAGAGCCTGGAGCCGGCTTCAGATTCTGTATCTCCCTCCCTCCCT